TTTCCCTGATGATGAGTGATGTTGAGCATCTTTTCATGTGTCTTTTGGCCATCTGTATGTATTCTTTGGAGAAATGTCTGTTCATGTCTTCTGCCCATTTTTTAATTGGATTATTTGGTTTTTGGGTGCTGAGTTTGATAAGTTCTTCATATATTTTGGATACTGTCCTTTATCGGATATGTCATTTGCCAATATTTTCTCCCATTCAGTAGGTTGTCTTTGCTGAGCAGAAGCTTTTTATTTTGATGTAGTCCCAATAGTTTATTTTTGCTTTTCCTTCCCTTGCCTCGGGAGAAATATCTAGAAAAATGTTGCCATGGCTGATGTTAATTATTGCCTGTGCTCTCTTCTGGGATTTTATGGTTTCGGGTCTCACATTTAGGTCTTTAATCCATTTTGACTTTATTTTTGTGAATGGTGTAGGAAAGTGGTCCAGTTTCATTCTTTTGCATGTTGCTGTCCAGTTTTCCCAACACCATTTGTTGAAAAGACTGTCTCTTTCCATTGGATATTCTTTCTTGCTTTGTTGAAGATTAATTGACCATATAATTGTGGGTTTGTTTCTGGGCTTTCTATCCTGTTCTGTTGATCTATTTGTCTGTTTTTGTGCCAGTACCATACTGTTTTGATTACTACAACTTCATAGTAGAACTTGAAATCTGGAATTGTGATACCTCCAGCTTTTTCTTTTTCTTTTCTTTTTTGAGAGAGAGAGAAAACGAGAACGGGGGAGGGGCAGAGAGAGAGTATGCTCCACACCCAGCACTGAGCCCCTTATGGGACTCGATCTCACAACCCTGAGATTGTGACCTGAGCCGAAGTCAAGAGGTGGAAGCTTAATTGACTGAGCCACCCAGGTGCCCCTGTTTTTCTTTTTCAAGATTGCTTTGGCTCTTCAGGGTCTTTAGTGGTTCTATACAGATTCTAGGATTATTTGTTCTAGTTCTGTGAAAAATGCTGTTGGTATTTCAATAGGGATTGCATTAAATCTATAGGTCGCTTTGGGTACTTTTGGACATTTTAACAATATGTGTTCTTCCAGTCGATGAGCATGGACTGTCTTTCCATTTGTATTGTCTTCAGTTTCTTTCATCAGTGTTTTATTGTTTTCAGAGTATAGACCTTTTCACCTCCTTGGTTATGTTTATTCCTAGGTATTTTATTATTTTTGGTGCACTTGTAAATGGGATTTCTTTCTTAATTTCTCTTCTGTTGTTTGATTATTAGTGTATAAAAATGCAGCGGATTTCTGTACATTGATTTTGTATCCTGCAACCGTACTAAAGGTAAGGGCAGTTCTAGTTTTTTGGTGGAGTCTTTAGGGTTTTCTATATGTAGTACCATGTCATCTGCAGATAGTGACAGTTTCACTTCTTCCTTACCAGTTAGGATCCTTTTATTCCTTTTTCTTGTCTGGTTGCTGTGGCTAAGACTTCCAGTGGTGAGAATAGACATCCTCATCTTGTTCATTTATCTTAGGGGGGAAAATTCTCAGTATTTCACCATTGAATGTGATGTTAGCTGTGGGTTTTTCATGTATGGCCTTTATTATGTTGATGTATGTTTCCTCTAAACCTATTTTGTTGAGGAATTTTATCATGAATGGGTGTTGTATTTTGTCAGGTGCTTTTTCTGCATCTGTTGAAATTATCATATGGTTTTTATCCTTTCTCTTACTGGTGTGATCTGTTACACTGATTGATTTGCAAATATTGAACCACCCTTGCATCCCAGGAATAAATCTCACTTGATCGTGGTGAATAATTTTTTTAATGTATTGTTGGATTGGTTTGCTGATATTTTGTTGAGGATTTTTGTATCTATGTTCATCAGAGATACTGGCCCATAGTTCTCTTTTTATGTAGTATCTTTGTCTGGTTTGGTATCGGGGCGATGCCAGCCTCATAGAATGAATTTGGGTTTTCCTTCCTCTTCTATTTTTTTTGGAATAGTTTGAGAAAAATAGGTATTAACTCTTCTTTAAATGTTTGGTAGAACTCACCTGTGAAGGCATCTGGGCCTAGACTTTTGTTTGTTGGGAGTGTCAACACCCCCTTTTTTTATTAACATAAAATGTATTATTTCTTTCCGGGGTACAGGCCTGTGATTCATCAGCCTTACACAATATACAGTGCTCACCACAACACATACCCTCCCCAGTGTCCATCACCCAGCCACCCCATCCCTCCCACCCCGCTCCACTCCAGCAACCCTCAGTTTGTTTCCTGAGATTAAGAGTCTCTTATGGTTTGTCCCCCCTCTTTTTTTTTTAAGTAGACTTCATGCTGGGCGGGGCTTGAACTCATGACCCTGAGATCAAGAGGGGCTTGAACTCACGACCTGAGCTGAGGTCAAGAGTTGGACACTTAGGAGTGCCTAGTGGCTCAGTCAGTTAAGCATCTGCCTTCGGCTCAGGTCATGATCTCGGGGTCCTGGGATCGAGCCCCGCATCGGGCTCCTGCTCAGCAGAAGCCTGCTTCCCCCTCTCCCACTCCCTCTGCTTGTGTTCCCTCTCTTGCTGTGTCTCTCTCTGACAAGTAAATAAAATCTTAAAATAAAATTTAAAACAGGAGTACTTGCTTGTTAGAGAGTATTCTTGAGAAACTCTTGTAGGTGACACAGATGTCCCGTTTCCATTCTTTTTGTAGAGAATGTGTTCTGAAATATGCATGCTATGAATGTTTAGCAGACAGGTTGGCACTTCATATTAGAGGATCCGGCTTCCCCCCCAACCCCAAAATAGAATTTTTCTTGCTGCGTATGAAAGTAATACATGTTTGTTGAAAAACAAATCAGCAATGACTTCCAGCCACCCTCAGACCGGCTGCCAAGTGAGTGCCTCTGCTCTACGCAGCCGCAGGGCTGTGCGCCTCCCTGAGGCTCAGTCAGCTGCCCGCCCGGTGCACAGGTGGAGGCTGGCTGAAGGGACCGGCAGCTGGCCCAGATGACACCTACAGTTCCGCCCACACCTGGGGAACTCAAAACAGCTTTGGGGACTGAAAAAGCGTGAACCTCAGATTTGTCAGAATATAATTAGGAATTCTGTGAAGAATATTATAAATCTTAAATAAGTACTTTTAAAATTTATTGAAAGCCAAGCCACCTGTCCTTAAGCACCTAACCCAATGCCGACTGAAAGGGGCTCAGTAGAGAGTAGCTGAAGTATCAAGATGTAATTAGGGTTTGACCAATATTTCTTGAAAACTGCCAAAACACTCCTATCATCAGCTTCTTGAATGTGGTTTGGAAGATATTTAGTCTTGGCTATCATGTGAGGTAGAGTATTAAAATTCTGGTTTATTTCTTTGAATGAATTTTAATTTAATGGTAAGTGGGAATTATAAATCAACTATGATTAAAAAAAAAGTGAAATTGATAATGAAAAAAAGGCCAAGTCAATATTAAAGTGCGCAGTGTGCATGGGGCGCCTGGGTGGCTCAGTCGGTTAAGCGTCTGCCTTTGGCTCAGGTCATGATCCCAGGGTCCTGGGATCGAGCCCCGAGTAGAGTCGGGCTCCCTGCTCAGTGGGGAGTCTGCTTCTCCCTCTACCCCTCCCCTGCTTGTGCTCTCTCACTCTCTCTCTTTTTCAAATAAATAAATAAAATCTTAAAAAAATAAAGTGTACAGTGAAGCAAGTATCCCCCTATAGTTGACCACTGATGGGTATGTTCTCCTCCATACCCACCCTTTCTTCCTTCACTTGTTCCTTTCCTCCTTCTCCTTCTTTCCCCCTTCCCCTCCTCACTTCTTTCTTTTATTATTTTGTTGTATTACAATTTTTGTTTGTAGATTTTGTTTTAATACATCTTTAAAAATTTCCCCATACTTTTTATATGCATGTAAAAAACACACATAATACCACAGATAATTTATTTTTCTTCCCCCCCCCCTTTTTTTTTAGAGAGTGTGTGAGCAGGGGAGGGGCAGAGGGAAAGGGAGAGGGAATCTTTTTTTTTTTTAAGATTTTATTCATTTATTTGAGAGAGAGAGCACAAGCAAGGGAGTGGGGAGAGGGAGAAGCAGGCTCCCCGCCGAGCAGGGAGCCCGATGTGGGACTCGATCCCAGGACCCTGGGATCATGACCTGAGCTGAAGGCAGATGCTTAACCGACTGAGCCACCCGGGCGCCCCCACAAATAATTTCTAAGAAAGACTACTGAATTTTTTAAAAAGCAATATATATTCAATGAAGAAAATTCAGAATATACAGTATGAAGAAATAAAATCGTTATAACTCTTCTCCCGGAGATAATAGTTTTTTTGATTTTATTGTATTTTTTCTGTATGCATAGGTGTATATATAGTATTTATAAAACTATAATCACAGTATATTTTACCACAGATACCACATCATCAGTATTATTAAATATTTTGTATGGTGGGTACTCGGCGTACAAAGACAACCAATATATGGTTCTACTCAAACAACCTTGGAGTATCTGCTATGAAGGCACATCATGAATTGATTATAACAATCTCAGACTTAATAAGAGTTTGGGTTTTTAAGAAATCACTTAGCTTTTTGGGTGATTCCCCCACCCCCACCCCCACTCTGAGGTGAGAGAGGCTGTTTGGATTTGGGGTGGGGAATAGCAGCTTTTGTTCAGTGTGACATTTTAGCTTGTTGGACTACAGTGTGTTAAAAATTTTTTTTCTACAGTGTATTAAAATTTTTTTACTAAAATTTCAAACATACTCAGAAGTGGAGAGAATAGTATAATGAATTCCCATATGCTCATCACCCACGTTTAAAATGTTTTCAGGATTTTTCCACATTTATCTTAACTCTTTAAAGTTTTTTGTTTTTGCTTTGCTGAACTAAAGGAAATTTCATATCATGTCATTTTATGTCTACAGTCTTTAACTATTCATCTCTAAAGTATACATTTGATTTCTTATATAACTCTAATTCATAATCGTACCTACAAAGTTACAGAAAGTTCTTGATGTGTCATACCTAAATGTAATGCTGTCACTGAAATGGTCATATTTCTTTTTCAGATCAGTGATGATGAACCAGGTTATGACCTAGATTTATTCTGTATACCTCATCATTATGCTGAGGATTTGGAAAAGGTGTTTATTCCTCATGGACTAATTATGGACAGGTGAGTAAGATCTTCAATCTCTTGTTTTTGTTTTTTTCTTCTATTAATTTCAAGTGTCAGCAACTGTTTTAAGTAGTTGATATTTGAACATAAATTAGGCTAGCTTTTCAAATAATAGATGTTTTCTGTTTTAGAGCCCTCTGTACAAACAAGGTGCAGGGAAAGCTTACTAATTACCCAGCGTAAGTCATGGTATACTGGGAATCTGTAGGGAGTAGAATAAAGTAAACACTGAAGGGAGATTATAGGAATGAACTCTAGTCACAGCCTTTGATTACTCAACCCTGAACAGGGTAATGGGCTGGGGCTAAATCACATGAATGGAAGGTCATATTTGGATTAGTATGCGCATCTAGCTTGAAAATTTCCCCTTAACTGAATTGCAGTGAAATACCTAACTTGGTATTTAAGTGCTCGCCTTGTGTGTCTGGCTATTTTGGTTTTGATTTTAAGATGACGGTATCAATACATGTGTGTTGTAAAATATTCTAAGGATTGAGGCTATAAATGAGAATAGGGTTCTCTCCTCTCAGCCTCCTGTGCACCGTCCTTCCCTACACACTAGTTATGCACATATACTCTATGCGAATATACATACAATTAACTCTTGACTCTCCCCAAAACTTAACTACTAATAGCCTACTGTTGACCAGAAGGCTCACCGATAACATAAAGTCGATTAACACATACTTTGTGTGTGTATTCTATACTGTGTTCTTACAAGCAAGTAAGCTAGAGAAAAGAATAGTTTTATTTTTTTTTTTTTAAGATTTTATTTATTTGACAGAGAGAGACACAGCAAGAGAGGGAACATAAGCAGGGGGAGTGGGAGAGGGAGAAGCAGGCTTCCCGCGGAGCAGGGAGCCCGATGCGGGGCTCGATTCCCAGGACCCTGGGACCATGACCTGAGCTGAAGGCAGACGCTTAACAACTGAGCCACCCAGGAGCCCCAAAAAGAATAGTTTTTAAGAAAATCATAAAGAAGAGAAAATACATGTATAGTACTGTATTTTTTAAAAATCCCTATATAAGGGGACTTGTGCAGTTCAAACCTGTGTTGTTCAAGCATCAACTGTATTTTATTTTAACACATAGGTATGTACTATCATATAGGTCTGAAATTTATTGGACACTTTTTCATATTAATATATTTAGAGCTATCATGTATTTTGAAGGTTGCATAACATTCCATTTTCTTTTTTATTTTATTTTTTTAAATTTATTTATTTGACAGAGAGAGAGACCGCGAGAGGGAACACAAGCAGGGGGAGTGGGAGAGGGAGAAGCAGGCTTCCCGCTGAGCAGGGAGCCCGGATGTGGGACTCGATCCCAGGACCTTGAGATCATGACCTGAGCTGAAGGCAGACGCTTAATGACTGAGCCACCCAGGAGCCCCAAAAAGAATAGTTTTTAAGAAAATCATAAAGAAGAGAAAATACATGTATAGTACTGTATTTATTTTTTAAAAATCCCTATATAAGGGGACTTGTGCAGTTCAAACCTGTGTTGTTCAAGCATCAACTGTATTTTATTTTAACACATAGGTATGTACTATCATATAGGTCTGAAATTTATTGGACACTTTTTCATATTAATATATTTAGAGCTATCATGTATTTTGAAGGTTGCATAACATTCCATTTTCTTTTTTATTTTATTTTTTTAAATTTATTTATTTGACAGAGAGAGAGACCGCGAGAGGGAACACAAGCGGGGGGAGTGGGAGAGGGAGAAGCCGGCTTCCCGCCGAGCAGGGAGCCCGATGCGGGGCTCGATCCCAGGACCCTGAGATCATGACCTGAGCCGAAGGCAGACACTTAACGACTGAGCCACCCAGGCGCCCCACATAACATTCCATTTTCTGACTGTACCATAATTGATTTAAGCAGTCCTTTATTGATGGACATGCAAGATATCTCCATTATTTTGCTTTTACAGACCATACTAGAAGGAAACGTTTGGGCACTTGCTTCAACTTGATCCATGGGGAAATTCTGGGTTAAGGGAAGGTATTTATTGAATGTTTTCATACTGTCAGATTATCCTTGTAATTTTTACTCCCAGTGGTATATGAGAGTGCTCTCTTTTTTCTATAATCTCTTATAATACTGTATATTACCAGGGAAATACTATTTAATCAGAATTTGTCAATCTGATAGGTGGAAATGGTATTTTACTTTGCATTTTAAACATTCTTGTTAGGTGTTAACAGTGTACATGTTTTTTTGAAGGTTTTTAAGTTTTTATTTTCACTTTATGAAGCAAGGATATAATTCATGGGGGGCAAAGGGTGTGTTTTGTGGAAGTTTAATGCCTAAGGGGGATGTTTGGTTACAAAGTTAAATATATTTCTTTCTTTTTTTTTTTTTAAAGATTTTATTTATTTGATACAGAGAGAGAGCACAGAAGCAGGGGGAGCAGTAGAGGGAGAGGGAGAAGCAAGCTCCCTGCTGAGCAGGGAGCCCAACGTGGGGTTCGATCCCATGACCCTGGGATCACGACCTGAGCTGAAGGCAGACGCTTAACCATCTGAGCCACCCAGGTGCCCCAAGTTAAGTATATTTCTTTAAGTTAATTTCTGTTAAATTCCGGATTTTATTTCTGTAGGACCGAGCGGCTTGCTCGAGATGTGATGAAGGAGATGGGAGGCCATCACATAGTAGCCCTCTGTGTGCTCAAAGGAGGCTATAAATTCTTTGCTGACCTGCTGGATTATATCAAAGCACTGAACAGAAATAGTGATGGATCCATTCCCATGACTGTAGATTTCATCAGACTGAAGAGCTACTGTGTGAGTATATCTGTTCCTGAAACCAATATCGCACTGTTAACTAAAATTTAAATAAAAAATTTTAAAAATGTATGTTATATACATGTTTAAACATACGTTTAAACTGTGTGTTTTTGAAGCTCTGCAAACTATACTTTCATGTTCATTTCACTTGGTTACAGTGAGATTTTCTAATATCTTCTACTTTATATCCAAGTGAATATTATCTTTTCCAAACTAGTCACCTTGGAGGCTATACACTTATTTTAAAGGGTTTTTGGTTTGGTTTTGTTTCTTGGATTTTTTAAAAACCCCTTTTAGGAGTTGCCGTTGGGACCTCGGAGGGGGGATATTTTTTGACTACACTTACCATTGGCAGATATCTTCTGTGGAGCTAGATTGGTTTTGGGGGCAGTGGTAAGTCATTTGCAGCCAAGTCTGATAAAGAAGGTGGGTCCGGGGGTGCCTGGGTGGCTCAGTCGTTAAGCGTCTGCCTTCGGCTCAGGTCATGATCCCGGGGTCCTGGGATCGAGCCCCACATCGGGCTCCCTGCTCCGCGGGGAGCCTGCTTCTCCCTCTCCCACTCCCCGTGCTTGTGTTCCCTCTCTCGCTTTGTCTCTCTCTGTCAAATAAATAAATAAATAAAATCTTAAAAAAAAAAGAAGGTGGGTCCGCAGTTTTCTAGAAAGCCCACGGGGAGCGGAAGCCCTGGCGCTCTGAAGAAACCAGTTCTGATTCGGTTACTCTGCCTGTGTCCCATCGTCTCAGATGCTTCAGGATACGGACACAATAAGCAGTATTGGCAGTGGGACGAGCCCAAATCAGGGTGATCTGTACACGTGGATTTCATCATCCATGGTTTCTTTGGCCATGTGGATGTTTGATTTTTGTGAGTTCATGCTGCTGTTTGTTTCTGGTTGCATGTTGCCGTTGTAGTTCCTCGGAGTTACTGTTTTCCTTAAAAGTGGGGTTTCTCTTAGCTTCTTCAAAGATTAGAATAAATGTTTGCTCTTTGCTGTTTCATGAATCTGTATCGTACATCCCTGTAGAAACTGACCTTATGTTTATATTTTCATTGAAAATAAGACCACTGAACTTTCATCCTCATTCTCCCAGTTAATCATTTATTTGACCCAAATGTTTGACCTTTTCCACATTTTCATCAGTCCTTCGGGTGATTGAAGAACCATTTAAGACATTTTCTCAGGGGGGGCGCCTGGGTGGCTCAGTCGTTAAGCGTCTGCCTTCGGCTCGGGTCATGATCCCAGGGTCCTGGGATCGAGCCCCACATCGGGCTCCCTGCTCCGCGGGGAGCCTGCTTCTCCCTCTCCCACTCCCCCTGCTTGTGTTCCCTCTCTCGCTGTGTCTCGCTCTGTCAAATAAATAAATAAAATCTTTAAGAAAATAAAATAAAAAATAAATAAATGAAATCCAACATTTAAAACACCTCAACTCCATGTTTAAGAAGCCAATTCTGGTTTAATCTGGTTACACACACCCAAATGAGCTCCTCGTGTTTGAAGCAAAACCTCCCAATAGGGGCGCCTGGGTGGCTCAGTCGTTGAGCGTCTGCCTTCGGCTCAGGTCATGATCCCAGGGTCCTGGGATCGAGCCCCGCATCGGGCTCCCTGCTCAGCAGGAAGCCTGCTTCTCCCTCCTCCACTCCCCCTGCTTGTGTTTCTTCTCTCGCTGTGTCTCTCTCTGTCAAATAAATAAGTAAAATCTTTAAAAAAAAGACTTTTTCCCTATCCCCTTAAAACCCTTCGTGTTCATACACCATGACATTGCTTCATACTCACAGGCTCCTTGTAACTTGTCAGAGTCTTACATGAATTAGAGAATTGTTTAAATACAGAGTCTGGGTTTTCACTCACTAGAAGTTAGTGAGTGAGCTGGTTTACACTAAGATTTAATTCTAGTCCGTTTTGCTGCAAGCAGTACGGCTGTCTCTCCAACCTTTCATGTCTTCTGGGCTTAGAGTCAAAACATGTACTTACAGTCCGTGGTATGATTTCTTTTTTTGATCTTCTTAAGTGCCCCCCTCCACACACATACACATAAAAATCAGTGTTACTACTTTATGTCTTAGATTTCATTCCTTTCGGGATTTGCAACAGAATGTTCTTTGAAAAGAAAACTTGTAAAAAAAAAATGAGGGGAGTTTAATACGTCTTTTTAAAGTATTTTATAGTTATAAGAACAGTTTGAAGCCATAGAAACAGTTTGACCCGTTAATGCCATTTTCTACTCTTGGGTTTTTTTCCTGTGCTTTTAGATCTTAGAGGATTATTAAGAGGAACTCCTCAACTGATAAAAAGAATGAAATCTTAAACGTAAGCAAAGCAAGTTTTTAGGTTAGTTTTTACGTAGAGAAAAATATCTGTTCTGTTTTATGTGAAATTCTGTGTGGATTACTACTAACCAATAGAAATTAAAATCACATGCTTACTGTTGATTTGAAGTAACATTTCTGCACTATTTAATAATTCATCAGCTTGTCATGGAAGATATTCCCATGTACATATAAAAAACCAGATAACTTAATTTGATAAAATTATAAGATGGAAATTTAAAATTGTTGCAGCATCAGTAACATTGATGTTAGTATAGTTTCACATGCTGATTTTCCCCAGTTTGAAATAGTGAATTAAACATTTACTGATCTGTGCTAATCCGAAAGAAATGCTCCATGAACTATTAAGTGTTTCTGGAATATATAAAGAGCCCTAACAATATCAACACATCCAAACTAGTTTTCCTTCAAAATAAAAATTGCATTTTTTGATTAAAGAATACCTGTTTATTATGAAAGCCATACAGCCACAGGAAATAAAGAAATGAAGGAATGAAGTCACCCTAAATTCCACTACGACTTTTATTTCTAATATTTTAAAGAATATTCTGAGTATACACACACACACATCATAGTTTACATACTCTTTTAAAAAAGATTTTATTTATTTATTTGAGGGAGGGAGAGAGAGAAGGAACAGTGGGGAGAGGCAGAGGGAGAAGCAGACTCCGTGCTGAGCAGGGAGTCCAGTGCGGCACTTGGTCCCACAACCCTGAGATTATGACCTGAGCCGAAGGCAGATGCTTTACCGACTGAGCCACCTAGATGCCCCCCATAGTTTACATACTCTTAATCAGACTATCTGGTAGGATTTTATTTGCTTAGTGCCTCAATGGGAAACTGCCAGGGATTCCAAATACCATATTTCATTCAATCTAAGATACCACTGATGGTAAGACTTACCCTATTTTTTGTACTGCTAAGAAAGAAGACACTGTCGGTTATATTGTAAGTTGTTGTCAATTGTAACATGTTGATTTCAGGGACATTAAAATGTGAGTGTGCATCTTCGAGCAATGAAATGTAGTACTTTATATTCAAAGACCCTTAAGGCTCTGTGATATTCAGAAAAATGAAATAATCGATAAATATGCAAATGTATTTTTTTTCTTGTGAGTTCAATTTTGTAGTAAATTTTTTCTTACTAATTTTTTGCATCATAAAAAGATGAAGCCTCAGGAGGAAAAGTTATCCAACAAGTAAATGTTTTGTGGCAATATTTTTGTGTGGGCCTTCAGCAGAGGGAAAATGAGCCTGATTTACTGTGTGTCCCGACAAAGTGGCTTACATTAAAATGAATTATTCTTAGGATTTGAAATCTTGCAGAAAACTTTTTTTTTTGAGTTCTGAATTATTATCTCCACATACATTTGAGAACAGGGAGGCGCAGAGGGATGAAGTGACTTGCCTAAGATCATACCGGTCTTTGATTTGAACCCACACCTTTAACTGTGCAGAACTCAGAGTCTTATTTGGGAAAATTTATAACTAACTTGAATCCTCTAATATGGGCTTCCTTTTATTTCTTCATTTTCTACTAGTCAGAAGTTTTTTTGTTTTTGTTTTTGAGCGGGAGGGGTGGGGAGGGGCAGAGTTGAGAGAGAGAATCCTAAGCAGGCTCCACGCCCAGCATGGAGCCCAATGTGGGGCTTGATCTCATGACCCGGAGATCGTGACCTGAGCCAAAATTTAGAGTCAGACACTTAACCAACTGTGCCACCCAGGCACCCCTCCTGGTCAGAGGTTCTGTATGCAAAAAATTCATCTTGCCAATTGCGGGATTTTTTTTTTTCCCTCAGTTGCAGTCAGGGTGCATAAAGCTATAATTCAGTCTTGATCTTGGAAGTTGCTTGGTTAGTAGCTTGATTAAGCTGTTTAATATATCAAAGATGTAAATTACCTTATAGTAATTTGTAAGAAGGTGGCTATTTGAGTGAACTTGTTAAAGAAAAATGCAGAAAATACTGGAGTAGTTTCTTAAAGTGTCTCTTAAAAGAAGAGGTCAGTAGCTTTTAGTCTGACCTTCTCCTTCAGATGGATTTATTCGTTGCTTTAAGATACGCTTTTTCCTCCAGAACAGTTGAAGTTAAATGTAAATGTGCCACTTTGATGTTGACACTAGTCTAAAGCTTATCTTCTGTAAAGCTAATCTCTCTCTCTCTGTATATATATATAAAGCAAGTGGGATGATTTATGTCTCTTTCCTGCTTATTGAATTAAGAGCACAGACAGGTGTGGGGGAAAGAATTTGTTCAGTTTAAATCGGAGAGAACAGGGATGTGTACCATCTCTGGTATAAGGAAACTTTAACAGAACTGGGGTCAAAAGTATACTTTGTAGCCATTTCCTGTGGATTTCCACTTTGATGTAGGCTGAGGCATTATATAAGCACCCTGTTTCTTAACATAAAGGTAGTGTTCAAGTTTTTTTCATATTTTTTTCTAGTATTATGTTGTGCTAAGTGGTGTCTTTGATTTGATTAGAGCAGCTCTGACCAATAGAACTTTCCGTGGTGATAGAAATGTTCTATATCGGTGCTGTGAAATACAGAGCCACTATCTGCTGAGCACTTGAAATATGTCTTGTGCAACAAAGGGCCTGAATTTTGAATTTTATTTCATTTCAAGAACAGTTAACCCTTGAACAATACAGGGTGTTAGGGGCACCA